GTCTCACAATGAGCCCCAGAGACAGGAGCCTCCCTTTGTCCCTCTTACAGACAGAGGCTCCTCCCACATGCAAATTCCCTCTCAGACATCCAGGTGAACCACAGGTGGCATGTGCTTAAATTCAGGGTCCTCCTCAGTCTGAAGAACGTTCTCTGGATTCAGGGACCTCATCCACGAGACCATGGAGCACATGTGGGTTTTTCTCTTGATGGTGGCAGCTCCCTCAGGTGAGTGTTGAAGGGATGCAGACAGGAAGGTCGGGGGTGCTGCCTCTGGCACATGACTCACTGTGGTTTTCCTTGTCCCCAGGTGTCCTTTCTCAGGTGCAGCTGCCACTGCAGGAGGTGGGCCCAAGACTGGTGCAGCCCTCACAGACCCTGTCTCTCACCTGCACAGTCTCTGGATTCTCTTTAAGCAGCTATCATATGCACTGGATGCGGCAGGCTCCAGGAAAAGTTCTGGAGTGGATCGGTTTGATATGGAGTGGTGGAAGCACAAAGTATAACCCAGCATTGGCCTCCCGACTCAGCATCACCAAGGACACCTCGAAGAGCCAAGTTTATTTAAAGCTGAACTCCATGACTGACAAAGACACAGCCATCTATTACTGTGCGAGAGACACAGTAAGGAGAAGTCACTGGAATCCCAGACACAAACCTCCCTCCAGGGAGGCCAAGAGAGAGCTGGGCTGCAGGGGGAGCTCAGGACCACACTGCTCAGGGGCCCAAACCAGGGCAGGTGCAGGGGGAGGGGGGGGTTTCCGTTAGACTGTGGTTTCCTCTTCCTGGACGGGAATTCCTCTAGAGACCCTCTACTGCTTCATCCTCTGAGAGTGTGGTGTATTTCATTGCTTTCAGAATAGATATATGACTTGTCTTTTGTTTTAATCCAATAGTCATTTTTTTCCCTTCATATACATGGAACTGTATACTGGGCTCAAACTGAAAACAAACAAACTCAATGCCATCGAGTTGATCCTGACTCACAGTGACCCTCATGGGATTTCCAAGACTGCAAGTCTTTACAGAAGCAGACTGCCTCATCTTTCTTCTGCAGAGCAGCTTGTGACCTTGCAACCCTGACCCTTTGTTTAGCAGCCAAATGCCTTAACCACTGCACCACTAGAGCTCCTTGTGTACAGGTCTAAGGTGGCATCTTTTCCACGTGTGTCTGAAATTCTGAAACTTAGTGAATGTCCTGGGAAGGCTCAGGGGATTCAAACCAACACCAACCCCACTGTCCTCGAGTTGATTCCATCTCAGAGCCACCCCACCGGACAAAGTAGAACTGCCCTACAGGGTTTCCAAGTCTGCAAATGTTTACAGAAGCACCTTGCCTCACCTTTCTGAAGCTGAGTGCCTGGTGGGTCAGTGCCGCCAAACGTTGGGTCAGCAGGCACATGCTTTAACCTCTGTGCCACCAGAGCCCCTCAGGGGGTTTAAATCACACAAAAATCAATCTTGTTCTTTGTCGTATGTATGGAAGGAGTAACCACTCCCCTGAATGACTGCCATTGCAAAACTAGGCTGAAATTGTGGAGGATACGTACACTGGTCAGACTTCTAATGCTGCAGAATGTACAACATAATGTACACATAATGGTATAATCTGTTACTGGTATCTACACATTCATAACATATATATACTGATACATATGCACATACACTATATACATCACAATATAATATTTAATTAGTATATAAACTCATTGTCATTGATTTAATTCCATCACATACTGAACCCCATTGAGTTCTCAAGGCTGAAAGTCTTTCTGGAAGCTGACTGCCTCGTGTTCTTCTGTGGAGAGGCTGGTAGGTTTAAGTCACAGACCCTTCATTTAGCAGCCAAATGCCTTAACCACTACCCCAGCACTTATATACCACAAGTATATAGTTATGCTAATATCAGTTTTATATTACATATATACACTAATATATACATATGTAATATAGATACATAGGGATATAACCTTCTATTAGCGTATATAGGAGCTCTGCAGGCTTATTGCCTAAGGCATTTTACTAATAAACAGAAGGCTGGTCATTGAAACCCACCAGCCATTCCTCAAAAGGAAGACTGGATGATCTACTTCCATAGAGATTCCACTCCAGAAACCCAAAGAGGGATCACTATGAGTAGAATCAGCTTGACAGCAGTGAATTTATTAGCACAGACACACACACACACACACACACACGCTAATAACATATATATCTATAACTAGCCTATATCTGTATACATACTAATATATACATACACACACTTATATGTTGTTGTTGTTTCCTGTTTAGTCAAGGCAACTCATAGTGACCCTATAGGACTAACCAGAACCACACCATAAATTGTCCAGGTCTATAAGTCTTTATAAGAGAAGATAGCCAGTTCTTTTCTCTCATGGAACGACTCATGCCTTTGAATTCATAAACTTTCATTTAGAAGCCCTGTACTGGATCATTGTGTCAGCAAACTCCTTTATCTATCATCTGTATGTTTGACTGGCTATCATATATCTATCTGTCTTTCTATCTACCTATCTATTATCTATCTATCTATCTATCTATCTATCTATCTATCTATCTATCTATCTATCTAACTATGTGAATTTTGTGGGCTTTCGCAGGAGAGTTTTGCCTGACTAATCTTGGTTCCCACAGAAAATTATGTATGCATGGAGTCTTTAGTGATCCAAGATAAGTAAATATCCTGACTCCTAGAAAAGTGATACGTACGTTGAGAACAAATGACCATATGTTAGGAAATCTGAGCAGAAATGTGGCAAAAAAAAATACAGCAAAGAATGGTTTATGAAACTGCTAGTGCATTGTGAGCATGAATCTTTCAACAATTAGGAACATTTCCATGAAAAAGAATCATCATCGTATGGAAATAATAATAGTAATAAAAATCACCTCCGAGTCAACAGAGATCAGCAGACCACACTGTGAGAGACCAGGAGAAGCAAGATCTTTGGCTAAATGGTAAACAATATGATATTAGTAAAAACCTACCAATCAGTATGAACATTAATAGTAATAGATAATGGAGTAACTAGGTGAAGCAAAGAGTACTGACCCACTAAGCAGAAGGTTGGGGATATGAACCCACCCAGCAGTTCCTTGGGGGACTGGATTGAAGATCCGTGTGGTGGTTATGGTCACGTGTCAGCTTGGCTGGGCCTAGTTTGGAGTAGCGGGGCAGCTGGTTGTAGCTCTTTCCCAGGATGAAAGTGTCAATCACCTCCGTGGTGGAATCTGCCATGAGCATCTGCGTAGCTTTTCTAGGCCTGTGATCTTCTTCCAATTTATAAGGAGACATTTTGGAAATGGTCTGCAGCGCTTTGGTAAGCTTGGATTCTACAGGTAGTGGACTCTTCATTTAGCAGCCTGTCATGCATCCTGCCAATCTTAGGGCAGTCTCTGAACTTGAACTACTGGCCTGCTGTGTTGTGTGGTAATATTGGGATTGTACTTTTTACTTGTCAACCTTGGGTTTGCCAGCCTCCACAGCCACCAGCTGC